CATTATTTGTCCTACGTCACATTATATAATATATAAGTTTTGGAGTCAACTTTCAGGCTCAGTAAATAGAGGAGTTAGCGGTCTAGTGTATAGTATAAATGTCTATGGGCGAACGGTTGCCTAGGTACCGCAAACGAACGAATGTGTTTGGCGTAAACAAAGCTGGTTTGTCAGTGGCTGGGACTGCGCATCTTGGGACGTTCTTCGTCGTTTGACAGTTGATCTCGTGCAAAATGACATCGCTCGACCTGCGGCAACAGAAGCTGGAACAACAGGTGCGATTTGGATGCGTTAGATTAATCAAGACATTTATTTGCCACACGTAAACTTCGTCTCTGGAGCGTGTAACCTTGTTTCTCATACGGTGTTACGATCTATTTAACTCGAGGAATGTCAGTTAAAATCTTGGAAAGATACAAATTCATGAGAAACTCAGGAGAAATTGATCGTTGGTAATGTTTCGTCAGATACTTCAACACCTGAAAACGAAGTTTTACACTACGCTTCGCAATAGTATTAGATGAATAATTAATGAACGTTCGAGCTTGGATAATATATAACAGCTAATAATAGACAACTTTAGTCGTTCAAATTCTTTCCCCTTTGCGGGGCAAGGTCGTGTATTATTAGAGATTACAGTGCACAGTAGTTATTTCACTTATTCTGCTGCAAATTATATCATATTTGAAATGAACGAGGAATATCTTACGGTTGATTGATATTTAGCACTACATTATTGTGTGATGAGAAATGATTTAGCAGTCAGTTATTTGCTAAATTTATATATTACTTCCAAATTATAATTTTGATTATTATTTTGTAATTTATTTGTGTTGTATATAGAGACAGTTAATTGCACAGAAGATGAAGCAGAAGAGGCAAACTGGCGCTAGTGGAATGGTGCAAGCGTCTAATGTATCCAGCGCACAGCTCACAAGTCATTCGAACAAATGGATGAATCCAAACAAGGAACTTCATGGTAGTGTGCAGATAAAATGATTTTATAATTATTAACAAATAAGATGATTACTAATGTAATAATTATATATGCGTTTTATAATATAAATGTTGTCTATTTGGTATCATAAAACATTTGCAGCATATGATGGCCCATTACAATATGCTATGTTTCAAACAAACACAGATGTAGGATCTTATGCGGAAAGGAAAAATAGTGAAGGGACAATCAATGGTAAATTTATATTAAATTATTTGAGATTAGAATTAGAATGTTATATTATTGACTACATTTAATAGAACATTTATTTTGCAACTGTTAGAAATTCCCTAAGTATTAAAATTGAATTATTTATTTAAATCTAAAGAAATTCCATTTTGTGGAATAAATGTTTTGCTGAACTATAGATTAATAATATAAAAGTGATTTATGAGAGAATAATTTTCTTATTTTAAACGAATTTTCTTTGAAATTAATTTAGTTAATATTTGGATATTGATATGTTTTGTAGCAAGTAACGAAAGAGGCTTATATGAAGGTTCCCAAAGCACTGATTGTGCCGATGAAGAATCATCACCTATAGATCTGCACTCACCTTCGGAATCTCTGTTATGTTCCTCACCACTTCGAGTGGCTCCATCGGATGGAGCCAATACTGTTATTAATAGAGAAAATAACTCTTCCGTACGCATCATATATATCAATACATAAATTCTCTCTATATATACTCTATTTTAATTTTATTATAATATATAAATTTTATTTGTAACATGCAAATATTAAAAGATTGTATCGAAGCAATCGTTGAATTTGATTTTGCAGAGTCCAGAATTGGAAGGGAATGTAGAAGGCAATATCGAACAATTTGTGCTGCAACCGGCGAATAAAAAGATGCATTACAAATGTCGAATAACGCGCGACCGAAAGGGAATGGACCGTGGTCTTTATCCGACTTACTTCTTGCATTTAGAGCGTGATTATGGAAAAAAGGTGCATTTGAATTCATTTATCTTGACAGTCCCTCTTTTAATACGTTTTTCTATACATTTGTAGATTTTCCTATTGGCTGGCCGAAAAAGGAAAAAAAGCACAACGAGCAATTACTTGATTTCGACCGATCCTACAGATCTCTCGAGAGGAGGAGAATCTTACGTCGGTAAACTCCGATCAAATCTTTTGGGGACACAGTTCACAGTTTACGACAATGGATACTCATTGATGAAAGACGACAAACGTGACGAGCGTTTTAATCCACGGCAAGAATTAGCCGCGGTGGTGTACGACACGAATGTTTTAGGTTTTAAAGGACCGCGTAAAATGACAGTCATTATACCTGGTATGACGCCTGATCAAAAACGAGTAGAAATATGTCCGCGGGTTGAATCGGAAACTCTACTTGGTAATTATAATTTTAAATTTTAATAATATAAAATGATGAAGTTAAAATAAAGTAGAATTCTGAACTGGAAATTTGTAAAATATTTCGCATATATCAAAATTTAAAATTATATGGTTATAAAATTTTACTTGATAAAAATTATGTTAATATGTTAATAATTATATTGTATTTATATTATATTTTATATTATATAATTTTATATTATATTTTTATATTATATAATTATATTGTATAATATAATTATATAATATAAAGTATTATATAATACTTAAATTATCTAAGAGTTAAATTTAAGAGTTAAATTATCTAAGAGTTATATAATACTTAAATTATCTAAGAGAATTATCTAATTATCTTCTAATCTTATATATATATATATATATATATATATATACAACAAGAACTGTATCTTTTCTATATTTCTAGAACGATGGAAATTAAAACAAATGGATAATCTAATAGAGTTACATAATAAAACTCCTGTATGGAACGATGATACACAGTCTTATGTGCTGAACTTTCACGGTCGAGTAACTCAGGCATCTGTAAAAAATTTCCAAGTCGTTCATGATAGTGATGGTATGATACTTTTTTTTTAATATTTTACACATGATATATATAATAATAACTGTATATAAAATTTTTATATTTATGATTTTATATGATTAAAGAGATTTATTATTGATTTTTATTATTTAATTATATTTAATTTCAGTGGATTATGTTGTAATGCAGTTTGGACGTGTTGCGGAAGATGTTTTTACAATGGATTACAGATTTCCTCTTTGTACAGTTCAAGCATTCGCCATCGCTCTGAGTAGTTTTGACAGTAAATTAGCATGCGAATAACAACCCGAACGTTATTGATCGAACTGTCAGTTAAGTATATACTTACCTACGAATTACTGTATCATTCTAAATATCATTAGCTTTCTAATGGACAATCAGATTACCAGGTACCAGTCTGAACATGGTACTCGATATTGAACTGTTTTCTAAGATAAAATATGAAACGAAAATCGCTCTAAATGTGTGTTCACTTTTCATATTTCATAATAAGTCTATTTCTAGACTAAATGTGTACAATGTGGAATGATGACTTTAATATAAAAGTGTTAAATTTGCATGAGAATTTCAATGGCGTTAGTGTTAAAATATTGCACATTATGTTTTGGAATATTTTCAATACTTTAAAATTAATTGCCAATATAAAATGATGATTATCGATGTAAAAAATGACGGTATGAATTCCTTGGCCAGTAATTCAGGAAAATAATGCAGTATATATTTGTTATATCAATGCAGTATGTTAGACATTTGACATATATTTTTATGAATAACTCATATATGCACATAGAGTGTTTATAAATAATGAATTGTGAGTATATGATTTTATAGTGCCTTGGCATAATATTCACTGTGCTTTCAAAAGACCATGTTCATATTTGTCCATTGGTATTTTTTATTACAAATAGCAAAGCTATTTATAAGGGCTATTCATGATATATATAAGATTTGAAAAAAAAATGATCTCGTTAAAAATAATAAAAAAGATATAAAATGTATGTCCAAATATTCTGTTAATAATCAATTCATGTATACATTAATTATAAAAGAAATATCAAAGAAATTTGCAGCTTTTTTACAAATATATTTTATGAAAGGATAATTATGATTTTTAATTTATATTAATTTATATTTAATAATAATCTGTATTGACAGATTTCAATATTAAGATTACATATATAAATATTGAGATTACGTAAATCATACACACATATAATCATTTATTTTATCACTACAAAGGAGATGTGCAATTGTCACTGTTAAAAAATTTTCAATGCAAGTGTTACAAAGCATATAGCGCGCACATTATTAGAAATATCGAGCACATCTTCAATAAAATTCTTCTGATAACAAATTCATTCGGAATATTATAAGAGAATTTGATACCTTTTATTAATATATTAAAAGTATCAAATATATTATTTATAATTATTTAAATATTATCTTATTTATATACTATTTTGCGTCTGCATTATGCAAGTAATAATAAAGAATTACTTTTAGATTAAATAATATACAAACCTTTTAAAAAAGACATTTTAAGGTGCGTGATTAATTAAATGTGTTCGTGTATTATTTATATATTGTGTGTATTATTTAAATTGTGCAGATATCTAAGAAAACGACCAAAGTATTTTATTGAAATTTTCACACAATTTTTTATAAACAAATTATTTAAATGTTTGCCAAGTATCAGATGATTAGGTAATATAATCCATAGTTATCATCTAATCATCTGAATGCTGATTATTATGGTAGCTTTTAGTGTAGGAATATTTGGCGATTGATAGAATGTATTTATTGCAATACTTTAAATAGGTACCTGTATTGTATAGTGATCGCTATAGAATTATCCTTTTTATATCCTTTTTAATCATTCTACTTTGTGTTATTTATATATTTTCACATTCCACTTCTCACAATTATTTTGAGAATATGTATGCAGTTTTCTCGTTTGTATTCTATTAATTTGTGTGTAACGGAATGCACATTTGTCATCACTTTTTTTCATTCTGTGCGTATTATCTGTATTTTGTACATTTATATCACCATTACAAAAATGTTCTTTATATTTGTATATGTAATTAAGTTGGAAATATTTATTGGACAACAGTATTTTGCATTTAATGTAACAGTTGTGTGTTTCTATGTGTTTAATCGAGGAGTATATATCTAGTCTTTTATTGTACCAATATTTTTGGTATATTATGTAGTATTATAGTAAGTTATTCATTGTTTTTTTTCGTAATAATGTATTAAAACAAATGAGAAAATTGTACTAAATTGTACTTTTTGCTAAAGCGATGCATTAGTTTATTATATGAAAATAAAAGAAATAATAATTTTATTCGTATATCTTTTTTTATTAAACATTAGAAAATGTTTTTAAGTAGTGCAAAAAAAGGAATTTAAATTGCAGTTTTATAAAAACGAATGCATCGCGTCTGATTCTACCAGAATAGAAATGGACGAAGATATGTAATAACGTATGTATTATTTATTATTACAAGATTTATAAAAAAAGGTAACATTAAATATTTTCAGCATTATTTGGGCAGTAAAACTTGGTAGATTAGTGAGCGCATTTTCTTAGATTTTATATTTTCATGTATAAAAATTTGTTGTTTGTATCTCGATGAATACAATAAAGGCACTTAAGATCTAACACTTATCGACATAAATGAAGATTACGATACGACGATCACTTTTTCATTTTATTATTTACAATAGGCATACATTGTTTCAATTCTGGTTCGCAATCAAAATTAATTTGCGTTAATTCCCTGTGTGTAAAGAATAAATATTAATACTATAGAATTTAAATATATTTCTGCGATATGAATTTATAGAATGTTATATATACATATATAATTCCAAACACACACACACACGCGCGCGCGTGTGTGTATGTATATAACATTCAATCTCACATCGAATCTTATATGCTACCCTTTTTGTATAAATTAACATATTTTTAACATGTCTTGTTGTAGCGTGCTATAATCGTAATTGACATTTCTTTTAGAATATTTATCTTACATCAAAAGTTAGCGAGTTTTCTTGATAAATAACGAAGCAAAGCGTATGAGCATTGTGTTTCTTCATTGTGCAGAATTTGAGATCTACAAAAAGTCGAAGTGTAACTCCATATTTTCATTTTTAATAATTATCAATATATAAAAAATTTTCTATACAAAATGTATATGTATCTACATGCGATACAATATGTGAAATCACAGAACATCTTTATGGTTTCTATTATTTGTTTTCAAAAACACGTTGAATTTACACGTTTTCAATGTACCAGCATTACAATAGTTGGTTTCAACAGGTACTGAAAGTATCTGTGATATGAACAGATCGAACAATCTTCTTATATATATTATCACTACATTATCAATCTTTTTACAATTTCTTTGTCTTGTAAATGTGACGATATGTTTTAGATGATTTAACCGAATGTGATAAGCAATTTTGTAAAAGAAAAAACGAGAATGTTGTCGAGCAGGACGGAGATGAAGGTTAAAAACTGAATTTTGTCTGCAAAAATGTTACTTACACTCACAGTCTTTTTTTATTGCGCTATTTTTTTTGTTAATTTTCGGCCGATCTGTTATTTATTATTTAACAGAAGATTATTAGATATTTAATGATTTTTCGATATATCGCTATATATATATATTAATCTTATATACAAAGATTTTAGATTTATCGTTATTGTTTGTATTAACTATCACGTGAAAAGTAGTCTTTTTCTTCAGGTTACAAAGTACCGAAGAAAAATTTCAATTTCTACATCATATAGAAATTACAAACAATAACAATATGATCTAGATCTTGAAATCTTGATTTTGGCAACGATAAAATTTGTGACTTAAATAATTTTACTCATGAATCGCGTTTTTTGTATGTTACTTAGCAATCAATAGACAAATTCTTGAAATATTTTACAAGTTTGTGTAATAATAGAAATATCTTCAATGTTTATAAGAAAGATAATTATGCTTCGAATCATAAAAAAAATGCATACATATATATATATATTAAATAGGAGTAATAATATGAGACTTTATATTACTAATTTTATAAACTGAATACAAACAACACGCAAATATTATTAATAATAATTTTTATCATTTCCAACTTGGAAGCTCAATAATACTGAATTTTTATCAGCTTCGAGAAACTTTACTACTTAACAGAATTAAAAATATCCCTGTTATTCTAATTGCCATGCTAATATGATTAAATATCTGCATTGATTAAATATTTGCAAAAGTCTGTTTCTGATTTCTTTATATTTTTACCGTTCATAACCGTTTCATGTGCATCCCTTTCTCAAATCGGCTTGAGTGATTTTCGCATTTGGCCGGACAAATCTCAGAGCCGGTATACGCGATGCGGGTCTAGGAATTCCGCTTATCACAGCAGCTGGCTTGCTTCCAGTATTCCAATTTGTTGGCTGTCTCAACCGAGTTTTATTTTCAATCTTAGGCATTGCTTGATTCAAATCCTATAAATTGATGATTTACGCAATTGCTATATATACATATTTGATATATTTCAGTTTTTAAGTTAATTCTCGGACTTTCTAAATAGCAAATATATATAAATGAAGATTTTACTTTTGCAATATGATAGCTAGTTTACGTGAACATACATACCTCTGTCTTCTCAATTACTACAGTTTCATTGGTTTTTGCTCCATTGCTCTCGGCATTTCCTTAATAAAAGTATAAGTATACATATATTTTTATTCATTAATATTTTATTCATTTACTTAATTATTTTAAATTAAATTAGATTAGATTATTTATATTTAGATTTATTACACTTAATTTTTAAAAAATTATTTGATTACCATCGTTGTTCAATGCATGACTAGACCCAGTAGGACCGATTATTGGGGAACTACATTTTATGCCTAAGTCAATATTTAAATGTCTGTCAGTCTCGCTATATTCTACTCCATTTTTCAAAATGGGTGAAGGCAAATCCGCTTTCTCATCAATCCAAGTGTTTTGTAGAATCTGTCTGTTCGGTTTGGGCGCCGAGTCCTGCTTTAAACCTGCAATTTTAGAATTAACAATTTTATGTCAAAGCGATATTTTTTTTTATATTCTTAATTATTTCCATATATTAATTCAATATTTCCTAAATAAGAATTTTGCGCTTACTCTCTTCCTGCATTTGCACTAATTTATGCAATTGTTCAATATTCATCGTTTGTCTGGTGCACGAGTTATGGCTACTGCTGTCAGAACATGTACTAAGCCTATCATCCAAATCAGGAGCGCTGTGTATACTCTGAGTGCTTTCTATACTTTCCGTCGAGCCGGCAGTCGTGCCTTTCATCGGAAATTGACTATTCGTATTTATTTTAACCTCGAGCAACCGTTGCTCAGATCCGCTCTTCATCTTTCCATATGGATGCAGCTTGCTCGGCAGCTGCGATTTCTCCGTGATGTTCTGCACGATATTGGGTTGCGAACCTTTAATGTATCCTATGCTGGATATACTTGTGCGACCGGCAGGTGCACCGCCGGCGGCTTTCAGCGAACTCGATACGAGATTGGGATTGGATTTTTGTAGAAACTGCGGTAATTTCGATAATGTCCTCGGTACGTTCCTCTTTTGTTGCGCTCTCGGAAGAAGAGGTTTGCAAAATGTGCTATCCATATTCGGACGTGTCTTGATATTCTCATCAGCGATATTGTTAGTTCTTTCAATACTTTTCTTTGTGAAAGTATAAAATTTACGTTGGTCCATTGGCAATTCCTTTTGAGCATTCATAGCCGTTTCGTTCTGGCTTGTATACTGATTGATCGTCATCGTTTTTTTATAGGTATGATAAATGTTCTTCGGAAGAACATCAGTCTCATTCTCGTTACAGACTACCTGAATATTCTTGGTGTCCCTCAAGCTGGCATGATTGCTAGAGATATGATTGTACGTAGCATCCAACTTACGCTCGTCGCTTCGTTGAATCTCCGCTAATAATTCTCGCCTTAATGATGTAGCAGCTTTTAATGTGGGATACATAGATGGCCGTGACTGGTCCAGGTGCTTCGCAGCAAATTTTGATGCTACATTCGTCATGTTCGGATTCATTGGCGTAGATTGATTATAGGTAGGCACCTTGAAAGACATATCCAATATGTCTTCTTTTTCATGTGTCTCGCGTGTAAAAAGTATCGCGGATTCGGTTTCATCCGACGGAATATTGCATGTTATATTCAAATTCGCTTTATTTACGTGCATAGTGGGCTTGTACATATCGCTATCAATCGACATAGGCGAATTCGGTTTTTCAGCGCTTTTCGCTGAGGATAGATAGGTAGTATCCAATAATTTAACGCCAATATTTTCCTCATTTTGTGATTGCGTGAAGGTAGCATTAGCATTAGGCTCGGTTATGAAAGTGGAAGACAAAGTAGCCATCTCTCCCTTATCAAGACTCGATCTTGACGCTGATGTTCTACTAGGAACTCCAGTATTATATGTCTCGTTCAAATCAAGTTGAACGAACTCCTTGCAGAAGGTGTTGCTTAGAGCATTTGTGCAATATGTTTTGTCCTGTGTAATCGTATTTTCGATACTTTGCACTATTGTTTCATTGATACTATTAATGCTACCGCTTGATTCTTCTTCTACATCGCCATTGTTTTGAGCAATGTTTTTATTTGTTGCTGCAATATCATTATTAATGAACATAGATTCATTCGATGAAGTGACAAAAGATTTGAATAAAACAGAAGGTTGTGATACATTCATTAATAAATCATTAAACTCAGGCTCATCTAAATTTATAAATGAATCTATTCCTTTCGATTGTGACATATTCAGAAAGGCTTCCATGCTCTCTTGTCCTGATGTTACTGAATTTTCGTCAGATATAATATTCATTGTCGTTTTGATGCATGGCTTTAAGATTGGTGGCACAGATTCTTTTTCTCCAATTATTGCAGATAAATATTTTTTCTAAATAATATAAATGAATTATATATGCATTATATATTAGAACTTAAGTATAGAATTAAGTATACTAAGTATACTCAATATGCAATAAAATCTCAAATATTCAATGTATTATAAATTTTAATTATCAGACTTGAGTCATAAATATTATAAAATAGAAAAAATTTAAAAAAAATTTTTTTATAATGAAAATTTATTTGAGTATTTTCTATTATAAAATATTTATGCAATGAAATAATTTATGAAAAATAAATAACTTACATTTTCCATGTGCGTAATATCCACATCTTGTAGCTTCTGTATATTTATTAAAGCAGGTGGTAATCCTTCGAAAATTGATTCAAAACTCATTCGAGCTGATCGTTTCTTAGGTCTTGTGAATGTTCTGGTGTCGATGCATTTTTTGTTATCTAGATATATATTAAATTTAATAGCGACAATAGACAATATATAAATTATAAAATTATAAATAAAGCTGAGAATATTTAGCAAATATTGTAATGCAATATTATCATGCTTTGTACTTCGAACATCTAATTCTGGCTCTGTTTTCAGCCAGGCATATAGATCCTGGACTGTAGATTCAGCTGAGCATTGTGGAGGCACATATAACCTAGAAAGAAACAATTTTAGTCCATTTAATCATGTTAGTATTGACTTGACTTATTAACTTCAAAAGAAAAAATAAAATAAAGATATATCACAAATATATAGAAAATAATATATTTATCATTCTGAATTATCCCAAACTTATGTGTCATAATAAACTAACAGGAAATAAGATTAATATGTGTACAACTCTTAAAAATAATTAAAATTGCTTCAAGAAAGAGAAACATAAATTGACTTCCAAGAGAAATACAGAAATCAATTAAATTATTTGAATGATGATCTAATCGTTTCCTTTAAAAATACTTAACTTCAAATGTATTATCATTTATCATATATTTTTTTCATTCATTTTTGGAACAGAGGTAAATATCGAAGGATGGTGATAAAAAAACATAGGCCGAGAGATGCGGGCCGATTAAAGGACCATTGATAAGCGAGTGACACCCACCAGTCATCGTTGTCGTCCAGCTGCAGATCCGACAAGTCGATGCGGTCGGTCTCGCAGACGAAGTAACCATCATGAGTGTATTCTGCGCTCGTGACAGCCTCGCTCGGGTCCGTCGTGCCCGCCGACATATTTTGTGGCCGAGCGTTATCGAATCGCGCGTATACGTAGACATAGACACATATTTCACCGTTCCCGGGAACTCGCTCCCGAAGACACGCGAAAATAGCTCGAGGGAGAAAGAGAGAGAGAGAAAGAGAGAGAGCGCGTGCAGATGAGACGTGGGAGGTAGATAGGACGATTTAACTCGCGACGAGAAGAGACGACTGTGATGACGACGGTTCTTGCTGCTGGGTTAATAGGAAAAAAAATATAATCACGGCCACTGGAGTCTTGGCTTGCGTCGCGAACGCATAACCACGGCGAACGCGGATGCTACACTGCGCTAAACTATGTTATTTTCGTGCTAATGTCACGGCGCACGCGGCACGGGATTCATCACAGAACTCATTGCACCAAACGGCAAATCACGACAAATTCGAATTGTAGGGGGAGAGTCTGGCTGTTTCCATGAGTCGTGACCTTTCTGGACCAATGGCAATTCATGACACGCAACGACGAAAGAAATGGCTTTACAGCTTTTAAAAGTGTAAAGTATAAAGTGAAAAATTCTATTGATGATTTAAATGCAAATTTTTCACGAGTATATTTTGGATATCACGATATCACAGGAAAAGTTTCATTATCGCTAGATTTTACATTTTTACAAAATCTCTTAAAAAATATAAATATAAAAAAAGTTTTAAAATTCAAACCTAAAAATAAAAAAACTTTTAATTTTTGAAATTTAAAAGATTGAGTTAAGAATTTTTAATTTAATAACAAATTTTTTTAGAGATTTAAAATTATATTTTTTATGTCGAAAAAAAAATTAATTTTGTTCGCATTAAAAAAATAGTAGATATATTTAATTAATAAATATAATAAGTTGTATTAAAATTTGAAATCGCTCTGGAACTATTTCAATCAAATTATCGATTAAATTAAAAAATTTAATCGATCATTAATTTATTTGGCAGAATGCTCAAGACAATCGATTAACCTCTAATCTTTCTGTATCTGCGATAAAAAAACAATTTTATGTATACTTTCCGGTAAAAAATTTTCCATATATAATTATATATAAAATATATCTGTATATAAAAATATATAGTTACACATGATTATATATAATTATATATTTTTATATTTATAGAAAATTTTTTATCAGAATAAAGCAGATACTTAACAAATTATATCTCTCTATTAATGGCTGTTAACCGCGTCGAGTAAATTTATCGAAATTCGGCCAAAGTCGACCAAAGAGTTTGATCGAAATTTGGTTGGAGAACCCAATATGGCGCAGGCGTAAAGGACAGGCCCGCGCGTCGACCGCGTCGAGATCGAGAGATCGCGATTCGCAACCGTCGTTATCCCTCTTTGTGTCGCGCGTTTACCCGCGGTCCAACCGTCAAAAGGCAGCGACCGGTTCGCCGTGGTCCGTTGTTCGTTCCCTGGCTCGATCGGGTTTGGTTCTCACCTCTCTGTCGCGCGGATCTCAGCTCCGTGATTCGAAGGTAAGCGGGTACCGAGAGGTATGGGATTTCGCTCTGCCGCGGCCGGCCAAGGGCGGGATCATCCGCGACCGGATCGTCCGCGTCCGCACGGCGACGTATCCCGCCGTGATACGTATTTTTTCTCTCGCGCGCGCACTTTGTCCCCCCTACACGTTCCGTCCTCTGCCGCATCTCTCCTCCGCCTCGCGCCAGCCGATCCTCGTCGGCCGAACGACCTCTCGCCGTCCTTCTCTTCTCACGTGTGCACGCGTCTTCGCCTCGTGTCCGCGCATCGTCCCGGCCGGAATCCTCCCCGGTGCGGAACATCGCGACCGTCTCGGCGTCCTTGTCCAAGTCCCATTGCCTCGATGTCATCCTCTGCGCTTCGCCGATGTTTCGGTGGCGCGCGGCCGGTTTGCCACCTCGTGTCTTCATCCCTTGTGGTCGCAGTCCGGAAGTAACCCTTCTGCGATTCTCAAAATGTCAGGCCCATCGCGCGCGATCCCGTTCGCTTGGGGTAACGTCCTCGAATTACCGCGAGATTTGAGCAAAATCTTCAAGCATGTGTTGACGAATATTGAGACGCGAGTCGAATCCGCGGCACACCGAATCTTACTCCTCGACCTCTATCTTATGAATAGATACTTTCCATTTAGTGATATGAGTCGACACTAATATCTTGGCGTTCAATAAGGACAAAACGATATTTGTGTCGACCTGTGTTACTAGGAAAAGCATTCAGTCTTTGCCTGAATTATCTTATACGTTACTGCATCTGAATCTCTAATTTTTATGTAATCATTCTCTAATGGAAATTCCGGCATACACATAATTCCAACGCTCTGCAAGCATTGCGTTGTCACGTTTGCACACTCGTGTGTCTGCTTGAGAATTAACAGATTCCTTGGGTTTGTTACATAAAGCGATTTACCATGCAGTTGAGTTATCAAAAAGTTTTCTTTCTCCAGATATTTTTTTGTTCGTTAACTTGTCCTTGTTGAGAATCTGAAACAAGATTTTTTTTTTCAAATTACCTCATGTATCCAAAAAAATAATTTATCAATTTATGTTACTTGATATTTTTATAGATTTTCTTTGCCGTGTTGTACATATGTATGATAATTGAGCTATGTGTACTGCTTTATCTTTTCATTTTTTAATTATGTTCTTGCTAAGATAGAATGTTAGGTCAGATTAATCACCTTGCTTCTTTTCTTTTTTATTCTTGTCAGAGATGCAATGTACATTCACATAAATGTTAGTATTGCTTTAGTGATCGAGCCAAGTATGAATGATCATGTTATTGTACAGTGTGAAATATATAGATATATGTAAAATTCTCAGTCTACGTAAAATTCGAGCAAATTTGCAATCGAAGCGGAGTTTCGACGACACCAAAATTCCCAGCTTCAAAGCTGAGAGACTTTACTGCCGTTAGACTAACATAGATAACTGGCCAAAAATTGAGAATTGATAGCGAACACATTTGAATTGTAGTAATATGACAACCGATCCGGAACGCGCCGCCAATACTAGCGGTACAGAATCCGTCGAAGACGAAGACGATAACCATCGCAAAATTTTACGTAGAACTGATGTGTTAGCTGCTCTCCGAGATGGTATTTCTGCACCAGGATTAGAGGTATTGCAATATTATTTCCAATCTTACATATTCGGCGAACGACATATTTATTTACATATCTTCGGATTCATACTCTCGACTGGTCTTGTCAATCGTATATATCATTTTATCAATAGTATTGCAAAAATCTTTTTCTGAATCGCATGCTTCCCCTGATGCTTGTTTGCTTTCATGTCCTGTTTAACCGACCAGTTTCAACAGAATGATACGTCTTACATATTTATTACACGATTCATTTGATTGTGAATGTTGCTCATAATTTAAGATATTTGACTAATTTAAGTAAAGTTTTATATAAATATTTTTTCATCAACTTGCGTGAAATATTGACTTTAATTTGTGTTTCGATCAACAACTCGTCGTTACTAAAATTAAAGAACGAAATTTTAGAAAACGTTAATCGGACTGATTGGTCTTCATAAATACAGATAATCTGTAATAAAAAACTTTCAAAGTAATTAATTAAACTTCGTCTGATTATAACTGCGTCCGAAATTTCACAAATGCAATTTGTACTTTTAGCAAATGCTGCCTCTTCCTGCTTCCGTCAAACGCAGGATTAAAGCACTGAAACAACTACAACTTGTCACTACTAATATCGAGGCTAAATTTTATGAGGAGGTACATGCTTTGGAATGCGAATATTATAAAATGTGCGCACCTATATATGAGAAGCGGAGTGAGATAATATCTGGTACTTATGAACCAACCGATGAACAATGTGTTTGGGACAGCGATGATGACGAGGAAACGCTAAGTAATTACATGAAGGAGAAGGCAAAAATTGAGGATGTTGCAGAGAAGAAGGATGAGTATGATCTTTTTTGTAATATATACATACTAGTTTATGTGTACATAAGAAATTAAGAAATATTTATTTCACTTTGCACATATGAGATATCTGAAATGGATTATTGTTCGCCTTATACATTTTTCGCTCATTCTTAATTTTTCAAATCAATCTCTTATAAAATGGAGGCATATCTGGAATAAGAATCGGAATTGAACTCGGAATCTGTCAACTGAATTGATTGCTCTTGCACGGAGCCACTGCAGAAATGAAATATTAGAATTTATTTTTATATCCAATTAATTGTTGCAAGTTAATTTATATCGTTATGTATAATTTATTTAAATTATGCATATTAATATATATTATATGACTTTAGAACAGAGAACGAAGACGATACTAAAGGCATCCCAGATTTCTGGCTAACCATATTTAAGAATGTAGGTACTTTAGCTGATATGGTTCAAGAACATGACGAACCAATCTTGAAGCATTTAAGTGATATTAAAGTAAAATTTCTGCCATCGGATCCAATGGTAAGCAGTAAGACAAAGTAATAAATAGTTAAAAAGAAATTTTCATTTAAATTTACATTTTTCTTATAGGGATTTGTTCTCGAATTCTATTTCACGCCCAACGAATATTTCTCTAATTCGGTGCTCACTAAAGAATATATTATGAAATGTACACCAGATAAGAATGATCCGTTTAGTTTCGAAGGACCGGAGATATATAAATGCAAAGTAAAGTTTTTTTTATTAACTTGATCAAATTTCAAATGATTACGATGCTAAAAATGATAATTTTTTCGTAGGGTTGCGTAATTGATTGGAAAAAAGGCAAAAATGTTACAATAAAAACTATCAAGAAAAATCAGAAACATAAATCACGAGGGTCTATGCGTACTGTGACGAAGACTGTACAGAATGATTCATTCTTTAATTTCTTCAGTCCACCAATTGGTAATTACTATTTTACATGTACTTTAATTTTCTTCATATATATTGTGACATACTTGGCTCGTAATTTAATTTTGGTGCAAACGCTTGTTTTAGTGCCAGAAGACTCGGAAGCTGATATGGATGAAGACACTCAAGCTCTACTAACCAGCGATTTCGAATTAGGCCATTACATTAGAGAACGCATAGTTCCTAAAGCCGTACTATATTACACAGGTAATGTTTACGATTACAATTTCCTATCATGAATATAATAAATGCTACAATATCCTTATTTTCATCACTAAAAAACTAAATTTATATAGAGTTTAATTAGAAACGTTTTAATTTCAAAATTAAATTATTTATAATTAAAATATTCGTGTATTTTTTAACAATCTCTGAGACGACTTTATTTTTAGGTGAAGGTTTAGAGGATGAAGATGAAGACTACGAAGATGAAGAAGATGGAGATGATGACGATGATGTTGATGAGGAAGACGAGGAAGATGGCTCTTCTCCTGCTAATGCGCCTTCAGGTGGGAAACAAGGCGATGATCCCAATGAGTGTAAACAACAGTAGAATTACATTAATTGTGACATAATGAAAAAAGAAAAAATCAATCGTTCGTGCGTTACAGTATGCAACACACACTAACGACACCTCTGACCGATAACTGCCTAGATAATTCTGCACCTTGCGGCTCCAAATGTAATCCCTGTTCTTTGTATCGATCATCTAATCATATCTCCTATTCCAGATCAAGCATAGAACTCTTCAACATACCAGAGATACAAAAATATTAAAGAAAAAAAAAGAAATTTATGCATACCATACCTTCCCTATACTCGCCGTTGACGATGAGTAGAATGTGCGCCTCACTATACCTGTGCTACAAGGTCTAACATCATAAGTATATGATAATTGCTCTCGCTCTCGAACACTAATTATTATCAATTTTTAATTGCTTCATTTTATACTACTTGTTACGTTTATATGCGCCGACAGAGAGAAGTTGTTTGAATTCTTTTCCGAGAAACGCACGTTGCTCTATAAATAAATTTTTGGGTACTGTTGAAGCATTTTTAATACAAAAGTGGAGAAAAAAAAAAATGTCTGTTTCATTCTTCCTCTTTATTCCTTCATAAAGTATTCTTCCAAAACCTCCGTAAAGAGAACATTTTTTTGGTATTATTTACAATTGTTATATTAGTCATGCTTTTCATCTATAAATTCATTACAGAAACGTTTTTCATACAACGATTTTGCGTTACGTCGAAATAGCTCCAAATATTTTATAACAATGTGATATAGAAAAACGCATTATGTCATATGTGAAAATACTAATAAACATTCGCGTTTTTAATTTTTAAATATTGCTGAAGAAAAGATTGTTTCATAGATAAAATCTTGGTTTAAAACCAGGGTTTTTTTTTCGAAAGACTGCTTTTTGAAATTTAGTTTCATCCTTACGGAACGTATCCAACAAAATTTTAAAATGTTTTTATTATTTTTAATTGTTTATATGCGTATGGATGTGTAAATGTATACGTGAAATCTGCAGCAAATTTTATTCCGTGTCTCTCAATATCCTGTGTATTTCAGAAGGCACTTAAATTTCATCAAGTAATCTTCGAGAAATTCTAGTTTCGTGCCATGTCAACTATATTAAACTGTGGAGCAAAACCATATAATTTACAATTAACGTAGAATTGAATATGTATTCATGTGTAACGATATGATTCCATAACATTTTTTATATCTGTATTTAAATTCATATGAATATACTCATGCAGATTTGATGAACACCTAGGTATTTTGTGTTATATTAAAATGCAGCAATTGTACTGTGCAATATTGTATGTCAATGCAATCGAAAAACGAAAATTGATTACTGCAAGTATACGATTATATTCATGCATTATGAATGAATGAATTGGATGAATGTGGAAAAATAGCACGTATGTTCTTGGTAGAGAAATTTTGAAATGATTCATGTCAAAAGATAATTGACGATGTAATCTTGCACAGCGCAATCTAAATGCTCTTGTGTATAATGCAATACAGATATATATCTATTTATATATATATATATATATATAAAGATACCTTACTTTTCTAATAAAACAAATTACGCATTTGATATTAATTATGGTACCTAAAATGTTGTAAATAAATAACTGTACAAGGACTGAAAAAATTGATCGAAATAATAAATTGCAAGTGAATTTCGCGAAAATATCATCTGAAATATATATCGTTAATTGCTGCGCACCTAACGGTAAAACGATAATAATAAATACAAAATCGCTTTGCTTACGATTCTCATTATTATTGAGGTGGTTTACTTGCAATCGAATTTTTGGCTGTTTGCATATATTGCAACAGCAACACGTTCGTTGTTTTAACAATCCTCTAAAAAAAGTACTTATAAAAATACAAGTTCTAAATAATGTATTATCTCTGTCTAGAATTTCACGTATTGATATATAATGGAACTTTAAATTATTAAAAATTTCGTTTGGCCATGACTCGAGAAAGTCAGAAGACACCGATATAAGATAATGTGTAACGAAGGTAGGGGAGCCAAGTATCATTTTGCTTGCAAAATGTACCAACCAAACCGAAACAAGCTAATAGAAACAAATAAACCGTACGCTTTTTCCTTCCACTTTGTAGAAATGGTAGGTCAGTCATCCTGATCCCCTCCTTCATTTTCAACATAGATAGGGTTATCATGGGAGGTTTGTTATTCAATTACCAATTTAAACACAGAAACAAAATTATTTTAATTCTGTGTCCGTCTGACAATATTTTTTACTAAGCGCTTTCTTCTTCATCTTCGTCCTCGCATGATACCGCCTCGGTACTACGAGGCAACAGCATAGATACATGACCGTATCTAGAATATAGAACAGATTACGTTATTAAAACTTTATTAAAACTCTCAAATATTTTGTAATCTATAGTAAGTGTAAGTGAGATGTATTCTCTCCGCGAAATCATGGCAAAACGAGAGGAAAAAATATACGTATTTATACTTAATATTCAATGTTTCTACTTACTTGCTGCTTCTATATTTCTCCAATATTGCTGTTTGTTCGATGTTAGGAGCATTGCAGAAGGTTCTGTTTAAATACGCGATACATTCCTTAAGAGTTTTAAAATCATATCCAGTCGACAGTTGCAATTCATGTGGCCAGATTTCCTCCTGTAACGTATGTCGCGCTAATGCTATTGCGGATGCCGCCAAATGGCTGGGTAAATATTGTAAATATGGATCTCCTTCGAGCATCGATAACTCGCACAAATACTGTGAAAAATAATAAATATATTAAAATAAAAAAATGAGGGGAAAAATTCAGAATATTTAAGAATCTAGATCATGTATATATTTGCTGAAACTTACCATGGCCAAAAATCTAATTTTGTCTGACAAGTTGTTGTTGATGCAATATTCCATAAGAAATGTTAGATGCGTCGGAACAGTTAGATCAAACGATAAAACCCTCAATATCAAATTTTCCATTTTTATCACTTGTGTCTTCGAATACGTATCATCTGTGATATATACAAATTCTCCTACATCGGGCGGATAAATCTCTTCATATTTCCTGTTAAAGATACGTATTGTAAAATGAGAATTCGAATTTAAAAATTCATTCAAAAATATATTCAAGATATATTGGATATTTCATTCTCAATATGAGATTTATATTATAAAAAGTTTCTTAAAGTTAATTATTCAAAATAAACTTACGCCGCAATAAACATAGCGGCTGTCCCAACAAGTTGTAACTTTGTTCTTACAACACTCATGTATGATAAGAAGCGATCTATATATGAAACAGCCAAGTAAAGAGTCTCGTCTTGCAATCGATACTCTTCGGCTACTTCCACGAGCCAATCTATCAATATAGATCTCATTGAATACGTAATATCAGGTTGTTTCTTCATGTAACCAGGCTTTGGTCTATGTAATGTCTGAAAAGAAAAAGATAAGAATTTTAATATGTAGATTTAATTTTGACTTAATATGTTCATTTAAGAATATGTATTTAATGTATTTTTTTTCTAATTCTTAATGGAGAGATGAAACAACATTAATTTGATTCATATTGCTCAATTAAATCACTATTTTATAATTTACTTTAATGTTAATCTATGTAAGAAGAATATTAATACAGAATGGATATAAAAGGATATATACTTCTGATTTTCGTAAGTAATTATATATGTCGGCTCGATATTCATCTACATCAAAGAAACTTCTCATTTCTTTAATATTTTCCCTTCTAGTTCTATACTCCTTGTTGGAAGAACTACTACATGTAAGTGACTTTTCCAATGACATTCCCACAGACATGGGACTATCTTTTGATAAGTCATCATCCTGCTTTGGACAAATTTCTTCGATCTTACTACAAAATACATAAGTGGAACTGGTTGCACGTATTTCTAATCTTGGCTGTTCCCTGACATCAGACTTGGCCACTGTTTCTTGGGAAGATTTTGCTTCCTCCTTTGTATTCCTAAGTGCAACAGATGTCTCCTCTTCCAATTTGTCCTCGTAAATCTTAAAGGGTCCTTCCTTTTTATAAAATGCATCTTCATGAAGTTTTAAAGGCTCAGTAGTTAACGTAGATAAAAATGCAGGTGGCGCTTTGATATACTTCTCATCTTTATAGAATTCCTGCTAAAAGAAAAAAAGAAGAAACTTCATAAGCTTTACATTGCAGATCATTTAATACTACTTAATACTACTAAATGTTTAATATAATACTCGGCTCCAAAATAATCAATCATACAACCAAATTAAGACTAGCTTAATTCTTGCGATCGCGACGAAGAAATTTAAAAATCATGAGAGAGAGAGAGAGAGAAATTTTCAAAATAGCAGCTGACAAATATCTACGGATTTTCGATTTTCATCTCAGTTTATCTGCATTAAAAGAATTCCTCTGGGAATTTAATAAAGGCGCGAACGACGCCTCCGACGATGGCAACATGGCAATTGCCGTTTCGAGACCGGCGAAAAACGTGGACGAACGGGCGGGAAAACGTCGGTTTTTACATACGGGCTTCGTCACGTTCCGTGGACAGTTGTTGTTATTCAGTACACCAAGGACGGCGCGTTTCGTTTGTTGCAGCACTTGTATTTGCATGCTCGCGGTGGCGGCGGCGGCAGCGGCAGCAGTGACGGAGAGGTTCTCCTTGCCGCGGCTACGCAAATCAATACGGTTCTCCTGGTCATCCTGGTGTCCTGGTATCCTGATATCCATTATCGTCGTGGCTCGCGACGATATGCCTCCCGCGCGTAAGGAATTGGAACGATACGTCGCGCGTGTGTATGCGTGCGTTAAGGACTAAGGCCTCCTCCGCCGTCAGGACGAAACACCGGGTGAAGAAAAAATTCCGCTATGTCGATAAATGCGTGCGCGCGCCCGTCCCGGTCTCTCCACGTGCCGCGACGAAACGTCGATGTCCCCGAGCGTTTTATAGCCACCTCTGCATGACCGAGATCACGAGGTAATCGCACGAACTCGACAACCAACGGGCCACGGTTGCCGTTTGATTTCAAACAAATGTAACACCAACAGCTGGCAGGACGTTATCTGAGCGTTGCGCGAAATCGACCAATAGCGAGCGTGGGAAAGTCGCCGGCCAATCGTGACGATACCCGCTCGGCCGCGCGTTCGCAAACGCAGCCTCTTGCGCCCGCTTGCGCATGCGCGGCTTCAAAAAAACGAAATCCGCGGAATATTTCTGACTGATTCTCATTTGAATCGCACTTGCGATAAAATTACTTCTGTTAAAAAAGTTGGTCATAATTATTGAAATATTGTGTAATTAATAAGTTGTGTCAAATTACGCACTAAAGATTAAGATTAGTGATCGAAGATTGAATATTGGATTATCATTTCAATTAGATTATAAATTTAGATTATAAATTGTGCATTAGATTGAGATAAATTTATGAAAATTTTTAGAAATTTGCAACAAAACTCATTCAAGTATTATAAATTTAATTATGACGTATCTAGAAATCATTTTCTTTATTCAATGACACATTTAATGACTTACTCAGAATTATCATAATTATATTGTACAAAAATTATATAAATTAATATTTTTTACCTATCTGTTATAAAACACCATGTATTTATTATTATTTGACTAAAAGTTATCAAGAGCTATTAATGTTGCGTTTGAAGATTAAATAATAAACTTTACATTTAAGTTTAATCTTTAATTTCTTGCTTTGTTTTGATTGGTCGAAATTCAATCTTCAATATGTAATCTTAAAACAATCTCAATTTTCAATGCAATCTGATATGAGTTTTAATTAATATTTTATCATAGATTGTTATGTTTACAAAAAATAAAGATTTCATAAACTGGAAAAGTGGCGCAAATTTTAGAGAAACGTGAACCAATTACAAGTTGCCATTTTGAAGTCAGACTCTCTCTACGTCGCTACATGCCAAAATCACAAAATCATAAAGAGATGCATTTGCGAACGCAGGAAGAGTCCACAAGTGTGCGAAATGGTACGAAGCGACCAAGAACCAGTGGAAGATTCGCGATCATAGTTCGGCCGATTTGGGTTTGTATATATTATTTGCAGTACTTTCCGTTTCGTTTTTACCTGTGTGATGTCGCATTTTTTTGCGCTCGACGAACGATCCGCGATTCAATAATCATCATACGCCGAACGACGCGGAAACACGAACAACCTCGCGTCGGTAGGATTCACGCGCGTGCCGTGCGGTGCGATTTCACATAACCTCGTTCTGGACGAGCTGAAAAGGGAGCGAATTTCGTGCTCGTGTCGTGGGAAGAACGTCGTACGAAGACCAGGGCGTTCGCGCGTGGCATCGTCTGTTAAAGAGAGAAAGAGAGAGTGATTTTTCTGTTGTGAACGGACAGGAGGGAAACTTTAAGAGAATGAGTCCGTTAAACAGGGGTCCTCTCATGGGACCGAGACTGCCACCGGCCGGCATGCGTCAACTTCCGCCGCCCAGATTCGCGGGCAGACTCCCGCCACACGGTATGCCGTCACGGATGCTACCGCCGCCGTTGAATCCAATGTTTGGTCCTGGTGGCCCCAGACAAAGGTTACCACCACCACCACCGAGGTCCACTAGCAGCGTGTCCCGACCCAATGGTATGCTCCCGAGGTTTCCCAGGACGCACGGCATGGCGCCCATGCCTGTACCGTCGATGAGACCGCGTGGCTCTGGATTACTGCATGGACCACCCATGCGTATGTGGCCTCGACGATTACCGCCACCACCACAAATGATGCTGCCCATAAGGCACAGGTTCGCTACGGGCAACGGGAATGCCAAGGGCAAGACGACGGGTACCTCGAAGAAAGTTATGATTGAAGTATGTATTCTGGCACTCATGCTGTTCGAAGTAGCTTTCAGCCTTTGATTGCATTAATCTTGATGGGAATCTTGAAAGCATTTAACTTATTTATATATTTAATTTAACAATTGTATCTATTCTAAAAAATATAAATTTATGAAAGAACAAGAACATTTCTGGAATATTTTTTTATAATATTTAATTGCATTTAAAAATCAGTTTACTAAGCAAATTAAATTTTTTTTTCAATATGTAATAATTATTTATATTTTTTGAGTTTTTTTTTACTAGTTACTAAGTTTGGATATTTAAGTCTTATTGAGAAATATAATTATTTAGGAATTAGAATTAAAAAAACCTTGGATGACAGATGAAATTCGTAATGAAATTCAAAGAAAAAACAAACTGTATGCTAAAGCAAAAAAAAATAAAGATGCAGGAGAATGGAAAGAATTTAAGGATCTTCGAAACAAAGTAACCCGAATGATAAGAGATGCAAAAAATGAATATCTTGCTAAGCATCCTGAACAGGTATTTTTTTATCTATTATATTTGCAACAAACATTTTAACATTTTCGTTATTTTATTTTTCTTTTATTATTGAAATCTTGCTTTCTTAAATATCTCCAAAAAATAATAATTTAAATTAATTCCTCTGAAAACTCTAAAACATTTTTTGTCGAATTTAAATGTACATGTGTTTTCATTAAAATGGGATATTCTGTATATACATATAATTGCAGATAACATTTTGTTTTTTGCTTGTTACATAACATTTTGTAATTGCTTGCAATTTTTGTTTTCTTCTTATTTCTTCTTATTTTCTTCTTATTCTTTATATCTGTTTTTTTTTTATGTAAATTTATTAAAACTAATGCATGATGTGTATGTGCATATGTGTAATTTAGAATATATGTAATGCACAAATTATTATATAAGCAATTATATAAGCAAAAATAATTGCATAGTAATAATTCTTTGCATATTTACTCCATTATATGTGAAAGATAAAACTTATTCTAATTCAATATTATCCAAAATTACAAAAAATTTATATAAAAAATTTATATAATTTTTATATCTTATTCTAAAGCAAAAAGCATGAATATTTTACGAACAAATGTAAAAGTAGATTATAACTCTTTCAATAGTTATCATGTATAAGAATTATTTCTTTTAATAATTTAAAATAGATGTGATAATAAAACAAATCTATTATTTAGTTTATAAGAACAATATAAATTAATTTTAAGTGATACTCTTGTTTTCATTAAGGAGTAAAACATTATTCTATGCATCCCAGATTTATATTTTCTCAACAGAATACAAAGATTGTTATTTTTGCTGGCAAATATATAATATAAATATATGATATAAATAATAGATAACACGTGGTAAAATAGAACAGTGAGTTAATAGCAAATATATTATTATAAAATGTACATTTTTTTTTAATTCTTAAATGTACATTCTGACAACATATGGTAGTCATTTTGTGCAATGAAAATTCAGTTAGTTCCACGTTCATCGCTTACTTTGATTTTACAGGGTGATCAGAAAACAGATGATAACAATACGATTGAATCCGAGGGTGTTCAGAAAACTGAGAATTCAGCTGAACAAACGGGACAAATGGAGGAGACGCAGCCTTCCAGCGAACAGGCACAGTCTTAAGCTTAAGAGGCTACTCCTCCTGTTAAAGAATTATAATTATTCAAATTATATACAAGTATCTATTTTCAAACTTCGGAATGATTTAGTTCTTGTGTTTTGATACTATCTCAAATTTTTTATCTGTATTGTCACTAAACTCTGTATGATCTTAACGCAGACTCTGACCTTTATTTCTCTTTTGATTTATTATTTTCACAACATGATATTTACATGACGGCTCTTGTATTACTTACATTATAAGTGTGTGCTATTTAAAAATGTTCTGATAAAGGTAACTTTAAAAAATTAGCAGCTAGTTGAAGTAACAATAGTCTTAGAGTTTTAAGACATCCTTGTGAGAATTAACAGTTTATTTTATCTTTTATATATATTTATATATCTATATTGCTATGTATACTCATACAGATATAACGTTTGATCATAGTTTATTATAAAACACTTGTAATATGACAATTAATTAGATGTAATACTTTCTCATCAAACATGTAAAAACTGGCCGTGATTAAATTTTTCTCAAAGTCTTTCCATATCTATGGCCAGTACACAGTGCTGCAAGCTATACAAGTAAAAAGTATTTACAGAATTATAACGTTCAAACTGTGACATAAAAAAATAGATATATAATTTATAGATTATTCATATAAGATGAGTATTTTAACATAAAAAAAAATTTTGAAGTAGCTTGTGGCTCTGTTAGATTAGTAATGTAACTTTTATAAATGATCATAGCTATATGTTAAATATATATTTAAGATTACTTGTTCATTTCATAAATGACTTCCAGAAAATAAAGACATAGAAAAAGAAATGAATTTGTAATTAAAATGAATATTGTAAAAATAAACCACATTTCTAAAAAAAAGAATAGAATTTTTTTTGTAAGAAACTATTAATGCTTCGACAAAATATGCGTAAATATTTATAATTATTTAATTAGTCTAAAGAGGAGCTAGTGAAAGGAACATCTATGCTTCCCATATATACATATATATAAAAATAAAAAATTTATATATAGAATTTCTGAATACCCCGGCTGAATATCCCATAACTTCAGATATTATGTACAATAATCAATTATTTAACGAAAAGGTAATTGATAAATAGATACATAATGTGTACAAGATTATGGTATTATATTTGCTTATAACTGAGGATATACTATGTAATAATATAGTAAGAACGTAATGATAAATCATAACAGGATTAAGAATAGTAATATAATAAATGTTGATATAATAATTTATATCAAGATCTTTGTGTGAAAAAGAAAGTAACGATTTTTAGGCTCATCTGTATCCAGTCGACGAAGAGCCATACGATCAGAGAGATGAAAATAATGTCAGTTCTGATGATGACGTTAATGACTACGACATATCTCACTATTGCGAGGTTTGTGATAGAGATTTCCCATCTGAGGCTATTCTTGCTGAACATAAAAGTGCACATATGACTTGTGGGATTGACGGCTGCACATTTTCGGCTCATCCCTTACTCGTACAAAAACATATTAGCATGCAGCACCGTACTGGCTTGTATCAAAGAATGAAAAATTTATCAACGCCAGAAGAAATCAAGAAATGGATAATGGAACGGAAGAAGTGAGTTGCTCTTGTAATATTAAAATATAATAGCATTAATAAGCACAAGTAATAAAGTTTATATTTCCCGGTTGAAACAGGAAGTATCCCACTGAAAACAATATAAAGTTGCGCCAGGCGGAAGAGATGGAAAAATTACAAAGAGGAGAGATAATCAAGCAGAATTGTAGTGTACAAATGAAAACAAAGAAAACGGTAAATACACGCGAGAAAAAACGCAAACTTCGCAAACGACGTACACGTGAAATTAGCAACGATTCCGTCCAAACAGAGGAAACATATAGAGGTTTACGTCCGTTTCCTGGAATAAGTAAGTTATAAAAACATATTTTTTAATTTTATAGATATAATTTGTAATCTTAGTACACAAAAAAAGATTTAAAGTCTTTCATTCAGATATTTAATTAACATTTCTATATTAAATCAATCATATAATTTTATATATAAAATTTATATTGTAATTCATAATTTACATTAATAATAATTTTAATTTTCCTTATTCTATATATTTGTATGTTTTTTATCATACATGAAATATATATTAGCTAAAATTGATTTTTTGTTGTAGTTATTTTACAAAAAGATAATGCAGATTGCTTGGATGAACAGATAGAACAAGTGGATTTATGTGAAACAGTCACTGATAATATTTCGGACGAAGATGATATACCACAAGCATCTACAATACAATTCGCAGAATCCACTGTGAATTTACCTGAAACCAATTTGTCTGTACTATCTTCTTTAGTAGCAGATTATGAAAGTGAAGACAATGGTAAATATGCAAACTTTAATACTTATTAATTTATAATGAAATTTGTGTATTATATATGTGTGTGTGTATATATATATATATATATATATATATATACACACACACACATGTATAATTATTTGTATTTTCTATATTTCGAAATATTAAAAGTTAATTTTTTATCAATATAAATATTCTTTCATCATTTAGACCAAAACTTTAATTTTCTAGATGATGCTCCAGAAGAAGTGCCTATTAAAAAAATAAAAACGGAGAATTTACAAGATGAAAAAATAACAGAAAGTACAATTCAAGAAGAAAATTCCATGCAAATTAATGAAGAAACTTCTGATGTGCAACTCTGTACTAATGCAGATGATAAATCAAATAAGAGATCTCAAAATATCACCAAATGTCAAAATAAGCAAAATAAGCAAAATCGTGAAACAAATCAAATAGCGATTAATAATAAAAATGAAAAATTTTTCCATAGATATCATAATAAATTATTAGAGAAATTGCTTTCACGTGCTATACAACATGAAAGAAATTTAATTTGCCAATGTGTAAAATATATTATAGAAAATAATTTCTTCGATTCGAATTGATCTAAAATAATAATTACGCGGAATAATTTAGAAATAATTTTTATACATATTACAGACTAGTCCTCAAATATAGAATATTTATAATTTTATATATATAATAATTATAAATTTATTATATATATAATAATTATATATTTAAAATATTTGTAATTAAAATCTGTGATGTCTATTAATTATACATTTTTTTAGTATTATAATTTTTGTAATAGAAATATATTTATATATCAAAAAACTTTTGAAATTTATAAAATTCAATCACTTAATATTTATTTCATTCTATACATAAGTTATGTACGTTTTTTTTTCTTTTTATGTTTTTTCTCAACTTCTTGTACGTTGTCGTCTTGAAATGATCTCTTTCACCGGTCTTTACAGAAATCAAATTTTTACTATGCTTGCCGGATAACGCACTGGTCCATTCCGCTTCCGATCCTTTGATAACGTATTGCTCTAAATTTTCTTTCTTTAGTTTCTCTAATTCTGCTTTTGTTTAATTTTTAATTCCTATAATACAATGTTATTTTTATATATTCATATATTATATTTGTATATGAATAGAAATTAGAGAATAAGTTGTGAAATACAAACCTTGGCTGCGCTTTCTAATTCCTCATGTAAACTTTGTCCACCTAAAGGATTTAGTTTTACTTTTTCGCTGGATGATTCTTTAGTCAATATAGTGCTCTCGATATATTTTTCTGCGATCATGTTGAAATATTGAATCGATTTACGTATTATACGATTGAACAGACCGAGTAATTGTGAAGATGGTAAATTCAATTCTTCTGCCAATTTATCAACTGTTTTGTGTTGCAAGCCCAAGCCAAGTAGAATTGCCTAAACATTTTTATATAGAAACGGAAAATACTTTTAGTGAAGTAAACTTTTATGAAATAAAAATATAATAAAAGAAATTTAAAATACTTACCGATTGCGCTGGTGAGAAATGGATTTCTCCCATCATATTTAAGAAATACAGACGTGCTAATGACGGTATCAAATCCATAATTAAATGGTAGTCCGCCATATTGTTGCTATACATTTGCAAACGCTTCAAATCGTATGATGTAAAATAAACGTTCAATGTTTCCTTACTTAACGCTAAAATATATATAAATATTAATGAAGCTTTATTAATTACATATGTATTGATTAAAATTTATTTCGTGATATAAGTAAAAAAATTAATTATTTTTTAATATGTATATCATAATAAATTATTAATAATAATTAATAATATAATGTACTTACTAATGGGTTTTAAAGATATTGTCTTGTTAATTAATATACTTAATGCAAGCGACGCTGGATAAGTATTAAATGAATAAGATAGTAAACTTAAGAATCGCCGGCGAAAGTCACTCCAATAAGCTTGTAACCATTTGTCGTCATCTTGTTCTGCATTAATTTTACAAATCATTATGCAGGAATGTTCTCCCGTTATATCGTTTGC